AAAAGCAGTAACAGACTGTAAACCACCCACTAATGTCAAACAAGTCCGACAATTTTTAGGGATGTGCGGGTTTTATCGTAAGCTTCCTTTCCAGTACTAGTAAAGTGGACATGGATAAACCATTTGAGCTACACAGTGATGCTAGTAATTTTTGTGTAGGAGCATCACTGAATCAATTACAGGATGACGGTTCTTTGCGTCCTGTTGGGTATTTCTCTCGGAAGCTAAAGCCCGCGGAAACACGGTATTCCACCACCGACCAAGAAGCATTAGGGATAGTGTTAGCCTGGAGGCAGGCCGGTAGGGGCCCTAAGGAAAGTAGCCAGGAGTAGGACGGCAGGTCAGTTCCCTCAGCTAGATGGGTTAACGCATCGGCAGTTAGGAGCAGAACAAAGAAAAGAAGAGAGGTGGGAAGGATTGGCTAGTTATTTAGAAGGAGGACAGGTACCCAAACATAAGTATCCCAAGACGACTATTGACAAATTTGAAGTAGCGGAGGGGGTACTGTATTTAGTAAAGGAACAAATTGATAAAGCATTGATGTACTGCCTTGTAATACCTGATCATTTGCGTTGAGCAGCATTAGAGTGGGCACATAACAGAGAGACACCAGGTCACTTAGGACAGTGGAAGACTATAGCCAGAGTAGAAGGCCTTTTCTATTGGCCCAATTATCGCAGAGACTGTGTGAAATTTGTAGAATCATGTGAAGTGTGTCAAAGATTCAAAGGGACAAAAGGGTTAGAACAGCAATGGCAGGGGATGTCAGAAGTAACTAAACCTTTGGAGAGAGTATCTGTGGACTTGACAGACTTACATAATAGTGCGAAGGGGTATCGCTATGTGTTGACCGTCATAGATCACTATTCTAGGTTTGTCAATTTCTACCCGTTGAGAACCAAATCCACTCAGGAAGTGACCAGGGAATTTAGTAAATTCATTCATGTCTTCGGTAGCCCTGGAGTAGTCATTGCAGATAATGGAGGGGAATTTACAGCAACACAATTTAGAGAATTATGTAACGTAACTGGCATTAAGAACTATTTTACATTGCCTTACCACCCTAGAGGTAATAGTGTCACAGAGAGAATGCACAGGACCTTTAAAACAACACTTGCCATCATGTGTGAAGATAATCCACTTCAGTGGCCAAAATTTCTCAGTCCCGTGCAGTCGGCTCTGAACACGTCTGTCCATGCCACAACTGGAGTACAGCCTCATTTTGCTTTCTTTTCAAGGCATGTACAAAGACAAGTAGGAATTGACTTACCTATAATAGAGAGTGAGAGCAGTCAAGAGTTGAAGGAAGCCCATAGGTTGATAAAAGAGGTGTCTGCCAGGATGTCGCGAGAGACCAGAGAGAGAGCAAATAGATCAAGAACGAACCAAACTATGCAGTTAGGAGAAACAGTATGGGTGAGGAATGAATGGCCCAACCCTGGGACCAGTAGGAAGTTGAATACCAAGTGGAAGGGTCCGTACACTATAACAGAAATTATACGAGATGGTGCCGCATATGAGTTGACTAACCCCTTGGATGAAAGTGAGGTAATAAAGAGAGCGGCTGAGAAAGTAAAGAGGTATGTAAGTAGAGACATGTTTGTTCAGCTGAATGAGCCCTTCCTTCCACCCTGTGATTCTTCCTCGGGGTCAGACAAAACAGATGAGGACAGTGATGACGGAAATGTGGAAGGTCAACCTGCAAGTAGATTCCCTGTGAGGCAGAGGAGACCAGTAGTTAGAATGGATTTGTAGGAAATCTAGTTCCAGAATATTGCTTCAATTGAATATTATTGGCTTTCCAGTTGTTAGGTTGATTTGTTGAATTATACAGTTTTGGGCGGGGGAGGCAGTTGCTCAGATGGTTTGTCGGGATGCTTTTTGAAGATCAACTATTAGTAGTGGTCTCTATATTGTCAGAATGTTTTTTTTGGGTTGTTGACTTCGTCAGTCGTACTGAAGTCACCCCAACATTATAAATCCCAGTTCTTATGAACTGAAGTCCGGAAATCCAGTTGCTGCCTATGTTGTTGAAAGAAAAAATCTCAGTTTATGTGTGTCAAAAGTTTGTGGGTTGTTGACTTCGTCAGTCGTACTGAAGTCACCCCAACATTATAAATCCCAGTTCTGAGGAACTGAAGTCCGGAGGTCCAGTTGCTGCCTATGTTGTCGAAAAGAAAAAATCTCAGTTTATGTGTGTCGGAAGTTTGGTTTGGGTTGTTGACTCGCTCCGGGTGAGGGAGTCACCCCGACTTTCAAATGCCAGTTCTGTTGAACTGTGAGATAGAAAATACGGGTTTTGTGTTATGAGCCCCAAAGTGTATGTCTAGAACCATGGTTTTGGTGTTGAAAAGGTGAATTATTATTGAAAGGAAGTAGTAATCTGAGGAAGTGTCTGATGTAACTAATTCCCCATTCATAGACAAGAATTTAAATTCCTTAGGATATGTAATTTCATGCAGAGAACTTTTGTTGTAGATGTAATGTCAAAGAGTCACTGTTTATGTGCTGGTGCCAAAAGTAGGTTGAGGTATTACGCTGATGAACTGTTAAGGGAATGTTCCCTATACTATATTGTACTGAGATAAGAATTGATAAGTTGTGGTATGTATAGGTAACGGAGACTCGAGTATGAAAGGTTTGTCTCCTTATAATTTTCTCTTTACTGATATATTGTATACCGAACTAGCAGGATTGTAAACGGTTGTCTGATGTATATGGTAGCGGAGACGCTCGTAGGAAACGTTTAAGTCTCCTTATGTTTTGTGTGTTGGATTAAGGTACTCTAATCATGAACTGTTAGGATGTTGTAAAATGTATGTACACTACAGCGTTAGTGCTTTGCATATTATTTCGCATAATATGAATCTTTGGGAGGGGAAGGCTATGTACTGCGCACATCATTGTCATCCCTAAAAATCCCATCTAATTCGTATTACGCTACATAACATTCAAATGCACAGCGCTTGTAGAACCCCAGAAAATGGGAAACATTGAGAAAGGACAACTCACCTACTCAAGGTTCCTAGACCATGTGTGGTATTGTACCCAGGTATAATTATATCATATCAAGTGTATGTATTCATAGCATTAAGGATCACTCAGGGTAGGCATAAGATGAATGTTAAAGTCCAGTTGAGCCGGACTAGGGTACTGTAAGACTAAGTGTGGAGCAGGGTTTGAAGGTCCTACTATTTACGTCTGTGAGCGTGTAGCGAACCTAACTCCAACAGATATCATATGAAAATACATGAGAACAATGATCGGGAAAAAGGGATAAATGTATCAGAACTATGTGAGGTGTTGACAGTGATCTAGAAACTATACTGGAAAGGAAATATCGTGTATGCGTCGGTATGAATTTAATACACCTCGTAGCCTCACGTGACATATACCCACGACAGGTACAGTGATCAGAGAATCTGAGGTCTGTGTTCAAATCGTGCGCTGTGTGAGAGGAGGACCCCTCATTACAGTTTTTAAGTGAAGTTGATACACCCCCGCCATGATCATTCGGCTTTTGTTTCAAGGCGCGTCATGTACCCGCCTCAGATGCCCGTTGATATTAAAATCCCAGGCATTTAACCAAGCACTAACAAACCAAGACCTGACCTTAGTGTATAAGTTAGGATTAATATATGTGTTTATAAGAAATGAAGGACAATATACCGTAAAGTGTTCAGGGGAGAACCATAAGAAACAAAAATGTAAATTGAGGATTGGAAACTGTAGGCCTATGTGACGAGAAGCGGCGGGAAGCCGGCCTTAGTCTTTCCCGTTCTGCCGTCAACACAGGTCAGTGCCCTAGCGGGCTATATCCCGCCCTACAAGTAAGGTTGATAAATAACAGTTACTACAGTTTAAAGCTTTGCCGGATATATAAGTGTGATAGGGATGTGTTAAGGGATGGGATAACCGCCCGTCAGGCATTATTGCTTAGTCTTTCCCGTTCTGCCGTCACCACAGGTGCCACGTGGTTGGGGTATCTTGCCGCCCAGCCGCCATTGTCTCCTGGAGCGCCACACCAGGTGGGGAATTACTCCCCACTATACCAGTCCACTATGAACCGGTGGATTCCCAGCGCACCACTCCACATGAATAGTCACAACTAAGGAGACCGTGAGAAACTGCGGTCGTCACTTGGAGCGACCTATAATACCAGGCGTAGAAATAGTGCTGGTATGTCTCTAGGTCAAGCCCTCGTCCTTACCCACCGAGGGCGGTGTGCGAACGAGGGGCCCGTGGTGTAGACCTAAAAGTCACAAGGAGTCACATACTTGCAGGTATGGAGTGTAACAGGTGTGTTGCGATGGTGCTACTATGTATGATAACCGACGGTGCTACAAGCCACACCAGTGGACAAGTCTGATGTGTTAAGGGATATTGTAAGAAGGAACGACCGAGATACGGCGTTCACCGATTGTTGTGCAATAAGTGGGTGGATGACCCGCCAGTAATGTAGGAGTCCGGGGCCCAGTTGGGTAACCAAAATTCCGTTGTTCTTCTGAGGAAGGCCAGTTCATGTATGTTTTTTTTACCAGTGTGTTTTATAAGAAATAAATCAATGAAGACATGTTATGGTTTCACCCTTCTTTACCCTTATCGATCTGATCAATGGAAAACCTAACCCAATGCCTAGTCCACTCTGCCCGCTACCTAACGAGCTACATGCTGTCCAGAGGGGGTCTGGTGGCAGCGACCCTTAGAAATTAAGATTAGAGTTAAGTTATCCCCTTAGATTTAGTGACCCCAGATCTGGCAGTATAATAGAAGGGATAATTAAGATAACATAACTATCAAAGAAAGTCACAAAATACAGAGGGTAAGTAAATATACGTATAAGGTAAATAGTTAGATACAAATGTTACATAAATTAATTAATTTTATACACTAAATTATAAAAGGTTATTAAATACACTGTATAGACCCTATATTATAGAAGGTAATTAAATACAGACACTTAATTACAGAAAAAGGAAAGGTGTCACAGAAATTCTCACCTTACATGGAAAATTCTGGAATAGTCACCAGAAAGGTAAGGTTTGTCTTGCAGGCGACGCAGCAGGAAGGGGAAGAGTACACTGTCCTGGGAGTTACCGTCTTCAGTCCAGTCGTGGCTTACATCCAGGCGTTTTCCTTCATCTTGTCGTAGCTTGGCTCCTTCAGTTCCAACAATGATTATCTGGAAACACAAAGACAATGCCAAGTCATTTAGGGAAATTAAGAATCAAACAGACTGTGAAGAGCTGCAGAAAGATCTCTGTGAGCTTCAAGAATGGCCAAAGAAATGGCTGCTAAAATTCAATGTCACGAAGTGTAAGAGGCTGCACCTGGGACATACCAACGATAAGGAGGTGTATCTTATGTCCGAACGGGAAGAAGAAACTGCAACAATAGAGTGAATGTGAAAAGGACCTGGGTGTGTATGTTGACAATGAAATGAAGTTCTCGAGCCATTGTGAGAACAAGGTGAATCAAGCAACTAAATTATTAGGGCTTATAAGAAGGTCGTTCAGTTATCTAGACCCTTGTGACGATCTTCAAGGATGAGATGCTTCTCCGCCTGGAATAATGTTACCTCGTCTGGTCCCCGAGATATGTTAGGGACTGTCAGAGAGAGATTAGAGGACCTGCAACTGCCTAGTTTATACTACAGATGGGCAAGAGGTGACCTAATTGATGTGTATAAACATCTCAAAGGGCACTACTCAGTCAAGTGTCCATACCTGGAACTGGCGGACGCCCTTCCCACAAGGGGTTACAGCTCTGGGAACAATCTGCCAGTGTGTGTTGTGATGGCACCGAGTGTGAGCTGTTTCAAGATACATTCAGGAACCAGTACAAATGTACTCTTTTGTATGCAGATGAAGGATCTAGGTTCATAATTTAAATTTTTGAGTAAAATTTTGAGTACTTAGTGTTAATTAATGACATTTGAAATAAAAACACCCTTAGAATATTTAAAACATCAATTACGCTGTGCCCGTAAGTTATAAATCTCCCTTAAATATATTTCTCATGAATATAGACTAAATTTTACCATTTAAGCAAGCTAGTTTTTATCTTGCAGAACAAAGTCGTAAGTTGCCCCCAAAATTCGACCTAATACAGCACCTGTACCTTTTATTTCGGCAGATAAGGTCAAGAAGTAGATTTTGTCACAGGTGTTCAAAAAGGGGAGAGGGCAATTGTCCCTTCCCCATGAGCTAATAAATTAATCCAAATACCAGTAAACTATATGTAACAATAAGAAAAGAACAAATAATAACAATAACGGAATAAATAAAAATACTAATAGCATCACTAATTGAACGATAAACTCATCATGAACGTACTAAAAAAATATGAATTATCATGAATTTTAACAATACCTCGGTATGTTTCTTTCAAAGTTTGCCCTCAGGTAGTGTTAGGGTGTTTAACCATCAGGTGAAGTAAAATGGGGTGACTACTCATCATGTGCTCCTAAATATCTTTCTTTACTTTATTTTACTTTATCCTTTTCACCACTGATTGGCTTGTTAACTTGGACGGTTGGTCCAAGTGACACACTTTTGGCAAGTACTGGGCATATACTGGCTCCAGAATGTACAGCACAGTATCTGTACCTGTGCCAATTATGAAGAAGTCTGGTCTTAAATGAGCTTGCACTCAGTGCCATCACAATGCTCTCTGGCAGATTGTTCCAAGAGTTCAGAACTTTCACTCCAAATATGTTTGTCCTGATAGTTTTCTGAACTTAATGCTTCAAGAATTGTAATATTAATTAAGTTCTTTAACTTTACAGTGGTACAGTATATGTTCATAACAATTCAATACTCACTTTTACACTGGTATCACCCAAGAGGTTGTCAACCCAAGCAGTGGGGGAGACTAGGAGCTGGTGCTGGTGTTCTTCTGGCAGAGATAGGAGGTCCAGGTAGTCATACACCTGTAATGTGCAACACTACTGTAAGAGGCATATCTTTGGCTATACAGTTTATCAAAAATAGGAGCTACATGGTGAAAAATATATAATGACAATGTGTGTGTGTGTGTGTGTGTTTTCAAGTGGATATTAAAAAAAAATTAAAGTTACTATAATTACCAAGTTGCTGTGAAAATTTATAAAGGAAATGATGAAACTGGAATGGTAACAGGATACAGTTAATGTCAGTGATTAAGGCAATAGTTTGTTTTTGTGAACTTAATAGATTACAGCACACATTTTCAGCATCAGCCACTTTTATATAACAAACTTGAGGAATTTATGAGGGCCAGGCTTCTTAAAAAAGGATGATGTGACCCTAATGGATGGGAAACAAACCATCAATACAGGAGATGGATTTGGATGCTTCATTTCTAGCACTTCAATGACAATTTGAAAACTGTGAAAATGTGAGCTCTTTCAAGACAAGACTTGACCAACACTGGAGCAGGTTCAGGTACATTCAGGAGCCAGTGCATGCCCAGTACTTGCCAACAGTGCGTAACAGAGACGTGACCGATCGCCCAAGCGGCTAATGAGTCGATCAGTGGTGAAGAGGATAAAAGAAAAAGAAAAGTAACAGAGACGTGACCGATCGCCTAAGCGGCTAACGAGCTGATCAGTGGTGAAGAGGATAAAAAGAAAAAGAAAAAAGAAAAGATTAAATAGTGATCAAGTTCTAAAAAGAGTAAAACAAATAAAATAAACAGACTTCAGAAAAATATACCGTGTAAATAAACTAAAAAAAAAAAAATTAGAGGAAAACTGTGGTACTTACCTTGCAGTGACTATAAAACTGGAGTACTTTTTTGAAGGCAGTAATTACAGGTTGATATTCTTTGCCATAAGGACCATACTGTGTCCAGACCAGAAGCACCGGCTGGTTTTCAACGAGTATTTCCTGCTGAGTGACTGAAAGTGATAAGAGAAATATTGTCACCTTGTATATTATAACTCTGATCTTATTAATTGGTAATAAATGAGTGGAAGAGAAGTAGGAACATTGGAAGCAGTACTGTCCATTACTGGCCTTTCACCCTACCTTGATCCCACTTGACACCACAATGACCCCACCTTGATCCTACACTTCTGACCCCACCTTGATCCCACTTCTGACCTCACCTTGACCCATCTTGATCCTATCTCTGACCCCACCTCTAAACAGAATGAAAAATCCATGAGTCAAATGTTAGGTTGAATTCCATTTGTTGTTTTTGGTAAGAAGTTTTGATCTTCTTGTTTTAGTCTCTTCTTGGCCACACCTGAGAGTATAGCAGGATAACTCTTCACCTTGGCTGTTCTTCAGTTTTGGCTATCATTCATTACTAAAGAACAACTCAAGATACTTTATCATAACACACCACAGATCTTGATAAAAAGGAAACGGTAATGTACAGTCGCTCAAAAAACTATCTTTACAGGGAGGGGTCAATGAATTTCAGAATGAACACTGCAACTCCTGTTGTCTCGGTAGGGTTGTCAAAATCCTTTATCCATTGTTATACTGTATTGTCTTAACATAATTTTTGTACAGATAGTTTTTTGAGAGACTGTACATCCAGGGTAAAAAGTTCATGCCCTCCCAAACTGTAGCAGTCAACCCCAAATGAGATAAAACAGCACCAGATAATAATACAGTAGAGGTAAGTAAGTTCACAGAGTCGACCTTGCATTTCAGAGGTTTGTTAATACATTGTGAGAGTTATCATAACTGGCAAATATTTCACTAGTTTTACCTTTAGAATATGTCATTTTAATGGAGCCAAATCTTGGATAACAGCGCAGCACACAACATGCGACGATAATGCCCGCTAACATCACTCCTACTGCCACCCCCACCACAAGAGTGGTACTGTTACTAGTGGGAGGCTCCTCTCCTTTCTTTGTAGGATCTGCTAAAAATAACCATTACAATTATATTTAATCTGATAGGGCAACGATAATACAAATACTTCAGGCTGCAAGACCACGCACAGCATGAAGAGCTGCCAACAGGTGGTGGTGGTGGTGATAATGATGATTGTGATTATGAGGGCAGTCAGTACCTTTGTTAGACATACATAGATTTACTCATGTGAAAACAAACTAACATGGCAAATATTTTTAAGTGTCACTCCTGAAAATCTAGAGAATGATTATAAGGAAGGTACCTGAGGAAGTTTGAGAAAATGGTAGTTCCCTTCCTATCTTCAAGAAATAACATCAGCATTTACTGTATAGGAGAAGCCTTAGCCAATTTGTTAGCCCCAGTGATGCTGACCTTTAACCAAGTAATCACTAAATATTACACATATCTTTTGGTAGTGATGATGATGTCTATCAAGTTTTAAAATCTATGTGAAACTGTAAAACTAGTTACACCAACAAATTTCAGGTTACAACTCTGACAGATACAGATTGGCTGGTAACTGTATCCTTTGTAATTAATACATAAGGTTTAAACTCTTGAAAGAGAGGATTTCCAGGAACATTTCCCTCGGGGTGGACAAGGAACTCCTGCACTGTGTTCTGGATAAGGATCTACTCCAGTATAAAACACACACACACCAAACTCTTCTCCTGTCTCTCTGATTTCACTCAATGTCTACCTGTCCACTCCATGAAGGAATAACATTACTGATAATTTACCATGAGAAGTACAGGGTAAAAGGTGACAAAATTAATAGTTAGAATACAAAGACCACCTTAGCATTTCTGAGCACCATTCTAATTTGAATATATATATCACCAGAAATATTACACTGTACAATATATTAAATACTATTTCATGTATTAAACAACAAAACCATAATGTGTACTTCTTTGGAAAGTGGTTTGGTATTAAATTAGTACAGTATAGTCTGCATTTACGAGGTCAATTGAACCCGTGGAGGTCAACGTAAAATGAGAAAAGCGTAAACGAAATAACAGAACATATGGGATTAATTGAAATAGAGACTGGGCCGACTCCCAAACTCCACTTTTTCTGACACAATACGTACCTTGTAGTAAAAATAACATCATAATTTTATGATGGTATTGCTACACACATAATATCTAAATAAAAAACTACAAATCTAAAGGTGTTTACCGCTTACGTTAGTATTAGAGATGGATCGGCACACATGGATGGTGGCTGGTTCTGAGGCAGAGGGCAGATTAGTTGCCCTCCGGTGAATCACTTTCACTACTCGCAGAGGTTTGCAGGGCCTCCCTGACAAACCCCTCAAAGTCCATATCCTCACTGTCACTATCACTGACTTGGGCTGGCTGTGGTTGTAGTGGGTTGCGGGCGAAGAAGTCCTTATTACGTTGACAACTAGCATTGATGTTGTCGTAATAGATCTGGACATACGGCTCCATAACTTTCGACAGATGGTTATTAGACACTTCATACCAATGCTTGACTGGGTCTTTGTCAAGGCTGAGCTTAATTTTCTCCCCCAACTCGATGATTTCCTTCACATAATCATGGCTTGGTCCAGGTAATTCAAGGTTTTTCTGGGGTGGTAGGGGTCTAGCGGAAGCCATTGTGAGGGGAATAGCGGGCACAAGAGAGAACTATATACGCAGACTGAGAACAATGAGACTAGCCCGGCTAGGTCAGCGACTTCTGGTGGCAGGGCACGTCATGTTACATTAGAACCAATCACAGTTAGCGGCAGAGGAAATGCGTGGGTGGTAAGGATGCGTGGCCCAATCACAGTCCAATAAGTCATATGAAGTCAGCGATAACGTAAGAGCGACCTAATACGCACCCCTCACCGTGCCGCTTCCCACGTATGGTCAAGAATGGACCGCGTGAGTAAAAAATGGCGCGGTGCGTCTGGACCTCTCCAGCCACTCGCCGCGTAAATGATGAAATTTACTGAGTAATTAAAACATTTCATTCTGGCAAGGCACCGCGTAAAGACCAAACGCGTAAACAAAAACCGCATAAATCCAGACTACACTGTATAGCCAACAGAATAATATGGTCTATGGTGCTGAACTTCACAAATGACTGAATAAAGAGGGTACAGAATGTTACCTGTGAGCTCTTTGGCAGGACTGGACCGTGACTGACACTCCCCCAGGCGGCAGCGATCATCCAAGGGGAAAAGTCTTGCACAATACCATCCACTGCTGAGGTTATAGAAGGTGTGTTCCAGTCCTGACTTCTGAAACATATCATTACTCAATTTACTCCAATGCTGTGTAAGCATGAGTATAAAGTCTACAGGTACACCAAACATTATCATTAGCCCTGGAGTAAAACTGGCTGTGGTAAAAACAGTTTATCTTTGGGCTTAAATTAACCCTTTCACCGTGTGTCATGTACTTGCCATTTTATTCTGGCTACCGCCAGATGATTTTATTCAGCTTAGGGTAACCTGCCACTGTGAAAGGGTTAAATAAAATATATAATAAGTGAAAACACCAAGAAGGTTTGTGGAGGGGGATGGGGAGGCTGCTAGTACTGTACACTTGAATTTGGAACCGAACAATCCTGTTGTCTCACTAGAGTTGGTAGGCATGATTGTGAGACATTTCCTACCTGTTATGGTAGGCTTAATTTAGTTCTTTACAATGTGACTGGTGAATAACAGTAAGCCTCATGGACCTTTATCAAAAACTTTCATTCGTGGTGTTATTTTGTTTCGTACAAGAATTGTAAGTAGAGTATAGTGTTTTTACTGCGTGTACCTCACCATTCCTGTGTAGACTGCCCAGCACTCTCTCTGACAACATGTAGTCTGCCCAGCACTCTCTCTGACAATGTGTAGTCTGCCCACTAAAGCCCACCAGTCTCTCTGACAATGTGTAGTCTGCCCACCACTCTCTCTGACAGCATGTAGTCTGCACACCACTCTCTCTGACAACATGTAGTCTGCCCACCACTCTCTCTGACAAAGTGTAGTCTGCCCACCACAGCCCACCACTCTCTCTGACAGCATGTAGTCTGCCCACCACTCTACCTGACAACATGTAGTCTGCCCACCACTCTACCTGACAACATGTAGTCTGCCCACCACTCTCTGACAACATGTGTCTGTCTGCCCACCACTCTCTCTGACAACATGTAGTCTGCCCACCACTCTCTCTGACAGCATGTAGTCTGCCCACCACTCTCTCTGACAACATGTAGTGTGCCCACCACTCTCTCTGACAACATGTAGTCTGCCCACCACAACTCACCACTGTAAGTTTCTTCTACTAGAACACCCTGTTGTTGAGAGGGTTACAAGCCTTCTAGGAACATGAAATGTCTCAGAGGTATACTTAAGACTAAACTACTCTATAAAATCAATACATTATCAGTATGTATGTACCATATGTCTGTACATACAGGAGCTTGTTTTCACTGTCATGAATGTAAGACAAGCTCAACACGCCCAAATTCTCCTATTTCCTTTTTTTTTGGGGGGGGGCATTACTTTGGGGAGCCGCAATATGAAGGACCCGTCAGTGTGTTACACTGACTGCAGCCTACCATGAGCATATACCGGGTAACTATCATTTACTGTAAAGGCCCACAATAATGCATGAATTTTAACCCCTCAAAAATATTATGCATATACAGTATATAGTTCAATCCCAACTTTACCCCCAAAAATTGTATCATAAAATCTTGAGCTATATTTGAGTTTAAAAGATAAGTATTAATTGAATTTCAAAAGATGAATTAATAAAACGAAGAACGAAAGGCAGCAAACAATGAGGACTGCCTGCATGTGAAAGTACAGTACTGTTACATAATTTACCTAAGAAGCAAAAATAAGATGAACCCAATTATCTTCAAGATGTTGGTATAATTAAATACTCTATCTTTATAATTACTGTATTAAGATGTACAAAAAAATAAATATGTAAAGAATAAATACTGTATCACCTTACCTCCCTAGAGACATATTCATAATCATTGCTTGGAATGAGTTTAACATTAACTCCTTTGCCAGAACCTTGACAGCTAATAGACTGGGACGCATTATACCATAGCCGGATTTTGTAGCTTGAAAAGTTGTATTTTGGATCTTCACGCCATCGCACATTCAGGCTGTAACTGTAAAAAACAGAATTATTGCTCCTCTCAATTTTTTTTTAATTAACTAAAAATATTACAAAACCATAAAAGTTAAAGAGCTAAAAGCTATTAAATATAATTCACTACACTGGCTAAATATATCAGTATTATACAGTGATACTGAAGAAAGGCTTTATATGGCAAGGACTATTGTTTGGGTCAATATGCATGCAGACACCAGAAAAGGTTGGAGGTCTTTGAAATGTGATGTTAAAGTCAAATGATAAAAATCAGCTATGCTGACAGGGAAACATATGAAGAAGTACCTAAGATTAGCAAAAACTAACTTCAAGAGAAATACTTGAAATGTACAAAAAAATTAAAATGAGATATTTTGGTCATATAATAAGGGATGAGAGGATAATAACAGAAATATTAATGGTAAAAGTTGAGAATAAGAGGGCCAGGGAAGGGCAGAGACTGAGATGGATGAATGAAATTAAAAACTGGATCCCCAGAAAGATACAAAACCTTGGAGGATTGATAAAAACAGCCCAAGAATGTTTAGAGTGGAAGATTGTGGTCCCCAATCCTCAGATATGAGGGCGGTACTCTGATTGACTGATAGAATAGCAAATGGTTTAAAAGGTCAGTGTTATGTAACGATATACAGTATGGCTTCAAAGGTCAGCGTTATATAATGATATACAGTGTTATATAATGAGATATGGCTTAAAAGATTAGTGTTATAGCTTGTATAATGATACAAAGTATTGCATTTGCATAGCAAAAAGAGATTAAATTAATACATATACAAGTAAAACTAAAATAAGTGCAAGAATTACTCTGAGCTAACTTTTTAGGGGTGGGAGTAAGGGAGAAGGTAATGTTCCACTCGTCCATTTTTGTGATGTTGATGGCCGGCTTCACCCAGAATAGTTTATCACCATCTTCTGTAGAGACTTGCAGGAAGGGTACCAGCCTAATCATGTAACAGCCAGTGTCCACATTTTCATAGTCTACAGGATTCTATGAGAAAGGTCGTGAGGTAAGGTTCACATGTTGGGGCAATGATCTATGGCTCTCATATATCTATAGAACCATTTGGGTGAAACAGAAACTGAGAAGTCTATTGTTCTTATATTTATTTTCATGCCAAAAACATTCACTATTATTGTATATGCACTTTCATTATCTGGTTCTCTTACCCTCTTCACCATTTTTCTGTTTACTAAATTTGACAAACCTTGAAACACGATCAAGTATACTCAAGAGCCCATACATGCCCATAACAGTTCTTGTCAACAACTCATAACAAAGCACTGGGTGACCAGCTAGTATAATGACAACTGGTGTTGAGGATAACATATTTCCTCTGTCAAAAGATAAAAGGAGAAGATCTGCCCCCAAAATATAAAGTAATACTAAAACTTTATCCCCTTCGCCACTGATTGGCTCGTTAGCTGCTTGATCACAATGGCCATCTAGATATGATTCTTTGGCAAGTGCTGGACATGTATGAGCTCTTGAATGTACCAAAACATGTGCCAATGTTTGCTGAGTCGTCCGGTCTTAAATGAACTTACACTCAATGCTGTCGTAAGTCAAATAGTATTCTGTCGGATTATTACAACAGTTCACAACTCTTACTATCTCGACATTCTCAGGCTGGTTATTACAACAGTTCACAACTCTTACTATCTCGACATTCTCAGGCTGGTTATTACAACAGTTCACAACTCTTACTATCTCGACATTCTCAGGCTGGTTATTACAACAGTTCACAACTCTTACTATCTCGACATTCTCATGCAGGTTACTACAACAATTCACAACTCTTAAAAATCTGGTCACAGCCACATATAGTACACACTAGCTAAATCAATACTGTAGACCTTAACATTACTCTAGTATCTGGGCCTTTCTAATAATTTTGCTTCAAGAAATGCTGCTAGTGTCTTAATAAGGACTGTTAGAATGTGTATTAACCTAACCAGATACCTAACTTTTGTTATTAACTTACTACAGTATACCTGCAGTGTGTATTGTTTGGTACTGAAGGCTCTGGCATAATAGAACAGGCAATTGTTTACTTAAGAGAAAACCACTTTTAATTCTGATAATACTCAAACATATTATTATTTTTTTGTCAAGATCTTACATGACTGAAAATACCTTTACCAGACACTTCTTCACTTACTTCATGTTTAATTCATCCACCCTTATAACACCTAAGAAGTGTTATTTTTTTTATCAGATGAAGTTACAGCAAGAAAAGAGAGCGAGTGTTTATATTATTAACCACAGAATGTTGTCTAGACGGTCCGTCCCTCGTAACGATCTTCAAGAGTGAAGTGCTTCCCCATCTGGAGTACTGTCACCCCGTCTGGTCCCCGAGATATGCTAGGGACTGTCAGTTGGTTGAAAATGTTCAAAGGAGGGCCACCAGACTGGTGCCTGCACTTTGGCACCACAACTACCCTAAGAGATTGGAGAGCCTGAACTTGCCTAGCTTATACTACAGATGGGCAAGGGGCGACCTAATTGAGGTGTACAGTATAATCATCTCAAGGGGCACTACTCAGTCAAGTGTCCTCACTTGGAGCTTGCGGACGCTCGCCCCACAAGGGGGTCATAGCTCAAGATTGAAGAAGCCGCAGGTCCAGAAAACTGTGAGGGCAAACTTTTTCGGAGTGAGAGTTGTGAACTCTTGGAACAATCTATCAGAAAGTGTTGTGACAGCACCGAGTGTGAGCTCTTTCAAGACCAGACTTGACCAACACTGGAGCAGGTTCAGGTACATTCAGGAGCCGGTGCATGCCCAGTACTTGCCAACAGTATGTAACAGAGAAGTGACCGATCGCCCAAGAGGCTAATGAGCCGATCAGTGGTGAAGAGGATAAAAGTAAAAAGTACCCGGTAAGTAAAAAGTATACCAGCATTGTCTATACTGTATACAGTACAAGCCAAAACAATTGTAAACTTGTATGATGACTTTACTAAATAAATATTATTATTATTATTATTATTATTTTCATTAAAGTAAAGTAAAGTATTATTACAGTATTGTATTACTCTTATCATTATCGTAACTAACCGAAGAAACGTTTCTGGAATTCCTCGCCTTTTTCAAGTCATTAAAATCTATTTTCTCAATGGCCTCGCAATCTGCTCTGTTGTTGATGTTTTGATGTTTGAATAGTCGCATGGACCCATCTGGTTAAGGAAAAAGAGTATAATCAATATTATGCAAGATAAATATTTAGCTACACAACTGAGTAGCAGAAACTGTGTTAAGATGGCAGCAGGAGCCAGAGTATGAAGATGACCTTAAAATTAACCCCAAATTATTTCACCACATGAATAAGCACCCTAATGTTACCTGGGGGGGTTAGGTTAGCATCAAGGTGTTTAATTATCATGTGAAATAAACTGGGCTGCCCTATTTTCACGTGATCTGAGCATGAGCCCAGTAAGAAAGAAAGACACTTACAATAGTCGTGTAACCTTGAAGTTGATGAGGTCTCCCCAACATTGACTTAAGAATAGCAAAGGTCCTTAACTTTATCCAATAACATGAGAGAAAAACCATGACACAAGTGTAGGACAAAATCCCCTAGAACAAAAACATAACCTAACCCGGAGAAACATTAACATAAAAAATGGGGGATTTTTGTCCTACTCTGCACTTAAACTGAGGGATTTTTATCCGGGCATCATGCAGCACAACAGTCCACATGAAGCCCTTGTATAAAAAGAAAGGCATAGAAATCCATTGGAAACTGAATTAAGAGTAGAGTGTATAATTTTTACTTTACTTAGTATACAAGATAATGATTACACAGTACAGTAAACATTTTAATGAAAGAAGAGAAAAACAAACTTACACTAACACACCTGATGAAAACAAAAGAGACAAAGGTATGGAATCTTGATTAACATGTGTCATTGCAACGTCAAGGGAACTGTGAAAATATTATGTCACAAGTGGGTACTGTAACAATAAGGATACTGTAACAACAAGAACACTATAACAAGTGTACTGTACTGTAATAAGTGGGTATAGTACTGTAACAACAAGGATACTGTAACAAGTGTAATGTAATAAGTGGCTACTGTAACAAGGATACTATAACAAGTGGGTAATGTAACAAGGATACTGTAACAAGTGTACTGTAATAAACTATATACTGCAAGAGGAACCACTGACACAGCGAGACTTTTCAATACATACTGTAGCTATTGTATACTTGGGAAACATTGCCTCTTCACTATTTCATCAAGGGTGACTAACTCATTGAGGAGGGTTTACCCAACAAAGGTCTATACTGCACTGTACAGTACTCACGTTGGCACTCCTTGTGACAGGTGTCTTTGACTGTGTAGTAAACCTGCAGCACTGCCGTCTGGTTGTTGTAGACATGGTTAAAGGTGTAACAGCCTTTGCAGTGTTTCTCCTCCTTGTTGGGGGTGGGATGTGTACCCATTGCTAATTGCTCTTCTATTAGGTCATGCGAAGATTTGTCACCAACACGTTTTGGTCGGCTCTTGACTGCATCCCACCTGTAGTTTCCTGGTGAGGGTCCCAGGTCTGAGAGAGTTGGTGAGATGGTGGGTGAGGAGTGGGTGCATAGAGATTTATGTCTGCATGTATGTGTTTAAATGTATATAAATGCATGTATGGTATGTTAGTGGAAACATATACTGTATCCCTGAGTGACAAAAATAGGCTCAAATTATTTTGTTTATCAACTTAATGACAAACTCAAAGGACATAAAATCATTCTCAACTAACTATTGCCAAGTTTGACTGAGCGAATGAAAGACGATTGTGAGTGTGTGACCAGGGTGATGTTGTAGACACCGTGAGGTACAGGGAGGCCGTGGACCTTGAGTGTTGCCATGGACAACCCAGGGCGCTCAGGATACTCCACGGTCACACACTGTCTCCCTCCCCGAAATTTGATGCCGCTCACCTCCACCAACACTGTCTCTGTAGATATTAAGATAATTGCTATGTAGTTGCTATATGTAACAGTGAAACCAAATATTACCAGCACCACACATTCCCTTATTCCTGTAAGCATTACGACAGCTGTAATCCAATCTCTGTTAAAGTACTTCAAAGTGACAACCAATTTGTTGAATGTGCATCTCTGTTTAACTAAGTTGATTGCTTAACAGATGATGATGTTTCTGCTGGTGAAGATACTTGTAATACATTACTCTATAAAGGTCACCAAAATATGGTTTGAATGAGCTTTGTTTGAAAGATTTCACTAAAATATCATCTACAGGTATACCTCGATTAACGTCTCACTCAGCGACATTGTGCTTTAACTATGGTCATGAATTACGACCATCTTGCTATATATAATAAAAAAATTCGCTTTAACGATATCCATTGGTTAGAATTTTTTTATCTCTAGTGCAAACAATGGGTTGCCTATAGTACTCAAATTAATCACTGTCTTGCAAGGATTCCAGTAATGCAAATTAAATTTTTCTATGTCAAGTCAGTGACATCTTATAAGGAAACATTATTTAACTATGCATGATGCATCTGTACCTTCACTTGTTAGCCTACCCACATGCCACCACACAGCCAATCCACGCACTACAGCCCTCCGCATGGTTCTTTGTCGATCGTAAACCTGCCATCGCATTGCTCCATGATTATCGGTCAGCATCGTACACTGTACTCATCATCAGTGTTTTTTTCTTATAGTGAGAGGACAGCACTAACATTTAGATTGAAATATGTTATGATGACTAAAGTAATATTTTCTGTGTTTTTGTGACTGTAAGGTGCTTCACCTCTGTTGTAGTGAAAATTATGTGAGCAGTGTCAGCTGCTATCAATGTTTTATGTTATCATCGTTCACTCTGTTTTAGTGACAAGTACTTTTGCTCTGTTTTTGTGACTGTGAAGTGAGCAAAGTAACTTTGAAAATGTCTGGGAAGGCCAAGGCATCCAAGACAACTATGTCTCTGAGGTGAAGCTTGACATTGTGAAGTGGCATGAGACTCCCTAGAGGCTGTGTGGGAGTCAGAGTGACATCTCCCCTCCACCTACAAGAGTCCCCTTAGCCTCGAAGGGGACATGTGATGATCACCAGGCTCATTCTTCACGATGTGGTGAGCCTTGTTTAATTCTTTTGTACTGTAGTAATATTGTAGGAATTTTTTTGTCGGTGATACATGTGTGTTTGGGGACTCGCTGGGAAAGTATCCCATTCAACCCCATGTTATGTGTCCTATCTAAGATATTTCACTCAGCAATGGGTTTTTCAGGAACACTAACCCCATCGTTTATCAAGGTTTACCTGTACATAGGTTGCACATCATGTACAGACGTAACTATGTATCCCCCTACAGTAAGTGCTTCAAGATTTCATGCACTAAAAGTTACCGGAAATTGACAAAGACTGTAATGGCTTGGAATTGCCATGAACTTGATCCTCTGGATTAGGGATTTTTCATCAAAGATAATAGGTTACTTCCTATCATGCCAGTCTTTCCAGCTGCTCCAGAGAGAGGCATTATCAGTGCATTGTAAATGTATTGTACAACCAGATGTACTATGCTACTTCACTGTGTATTTGTAGAAAAGGTGGATTGAGATAAACTACATCATGTACTGTAGTTAATATTTTGAGGGCGGTTCGTATAGACCAGTTTTACTGTGGACGAGGATGTTAAAGGTTACTATCTATGACTGTGCTCATTATTTTGTCTTTAGTGTATGTTATCCTTGTTATGGGTACCGGGTAAATGATTCATTCAGTAAGTTTTCATGTTTGGTTTATCTTGAATAAATGTTATCGGTATTTTTTTTCTTCAAATACTGTACAGTATTTTCTGTTTTCAATATACTGTACGGCACTATTGTAATATTGATACATTACTTTCATTTATAAAGGCTGTAAAAACAAAGAACATTTGTTATTATTTTGTTTAACCATCATATAATTATTTGTGTACAGTACCTGAAACCTTACTTCATTTCAACACGCTTTCTATCATAATTGCAGTCATTTTTGTCTGTACTGTATCTTGAATTCATATGTATAAGCCACAAATTTAGCTCCATCACTGGATTCCTTAAGCTCACAATTCACAAACAATATGACACCATACTACAGTGGTCTTTGCAGTGTAGAACAGTATTTTTTTTCTGTCACACTCTCACATACACATACTGTTATACTGGACAGGTGGCAACATACTGTGGTGGCGGACGGTAAGACTGAGGTCGAGGAAGGAGTTGGCTGTGTTGAGGGGCCGCTCCACCACCTTCACGTCCTCACCTCCCCCCCTGCTGTACTCCACATCCAGGTCACCAGAACCCAGTCTATCACAACCTGAGGAAGAAGGGTCTGTATTGTATATATACTGTATATACTATACGTAAAATACTGTTAATCTTTCTGACATAGGCATATTGACAAAGGCACATAAAAGGTTGCACGCATACACATATACACTGTACAGCAAGACCCCAGACATTCGGAATCCATGGGGAATTGAGTGTGCCGGACAATCGTTTTTTTTCCGGATGCTTGAGAGTTACTCTTAAAAATACACATCTCAAACTCAAGAACATCACTATAGTATATATTACATGTATAAAAAGAATAAAGGGACGTAGTAAATATATTATAAAAGGAATAAGCACACGTCTGCAACTAACTAGCTTATACTAAAGACTGAAGACCTAATCAAAGGGTATAAACAACTCAGGGGGTACTGCTCGGTTGAATGTATACCTGTAACTGGCAGAATGTCTGCCCCACAAGGAGTCACAGCTCGAAGTTGAGGAAGTCACAAGTCCAAAAAACTGTGAGGGCAAATTTTTTCGGAGTGAGAGTTGTGAACTCTTGGAGCAATCTGCCAGAGAGCATTGTGACAGCACTGAGTGTAAGTTCAGTCAAGACCAGACTTGACCAACACTGGAACAGGTTCCAATATATTCAAGAGCCAGTGCATACCCAGTATCTGCCAACAGTGCATATCAGATATGCGACCAACTGTCCAATCGGCTAACGAGCTGATCGGTGGCGAAGAGGAAAAAAGGAATGCGTTTGTGCTCCTGTCTAAGGCATGCTGGATGGATGAGGCGATGATAGCAGTTACACTGGCACAAACATTCAAGTAAGCAGAACGGTAATGGCGGCGTCCAGTGCGCTTGGCCAACATGGAGGATGCACACAGTACCTCTACTAGAGACAAATTCAAACCAATTTTCATGATTTTTTAAATGTGATTAGACATTACTTACTGGAAATTGACCCCACCAAAAAATGACGGTTGCTTGAGAGTTCCAGATACAGTAGTTAAATGCTGGTTATTTGAGGTATATCTGCACTTGGTCATGATAACTACTATAGTGGATCACTTGTCAACAATGCCCTGCTTGTGAACACAATGGAGAAGACAATTCATACAAAAGGTTTGTAACTTTCTCATTACACTAGTCCTAGTCAAATCTGTCTCCGTCTCCCTGTGGTGCTGAGAACGTGGAGACGGTCTCCATGTGGTACAGTATTGAGCCACTCTCCTGCTTGGACAATTAGGTCAGCTGAATGGCACGTTGAGACGAAACTAGCCCAAAATATCAAGAAATTTACTGGGTCTAGACATTGTTTAGTGACGTTGACTGGGTTAGTACCCCCTTTACACCACACGAGGTAGACTTATTGAGCGAAGGAAATTTTTGAACAACACGCCTGGAAAATGAACAACCAGTTGGTCATAAGGCGAGGTCATGTTGAAGGCCATGACACTGATCATGAGACGAGGTCATGTTGAAGGTCACGGCACCGATTATGAGACGAGGCCATGTTGAAGGTCATTATAATGACTGAGCCAAGGAGGTCACGTCGACTTACTACTGGCAGATTAAGGTCAAGTCAACACGTCAGAGATGAGATATATATATATATATATATATATATATATATATATATATATATATATATATATATATATATAAGAGAATGGAAGAGAGAGACAAGTACATGGTTAACATTTGATTGTTGACTCTCGTCAGTTACTAACTTTAGGTGTGGCTGCCGGGTCTCAGAACACATTTTCAAGGGCTTCTCTCTCTATTTTCCAATTTCTCTTTATTGATTTATATCTCTCTCTCTTTATCTCATGTTTTCCTTTATCTTCTCTATCTCACTCTTTATCACACTATTTCTCTCTCTCTCTATCTGTTTCTTTACTCGTTTTTTCTATATCTAATAATGAAAATAGGAAAAACAATAATAATAATAATAATATACAATACGTACTATCACTACTACTACTAATAATAATAATGTAATAACCAAAAACAACAATAATAATATAATTTTAATAATAATCATGCAATAATAATAATAATACCAGATCCCATCCGTCCGGTAATACTCAACAAGATGCAGGCATAACCAACCAGCGTAGTTCCTTGTTCACATACAATTACTGTCCTCGATAATAACTCATTTTAGACAGACGAGTATGTGATAACAGAGGAAACCAGTACTTACGAGGAAAATTTCTTTAAATATTCGGCCAACGAGTAATGTTCTCACATCTACAACTAATTCGCAAGCAAGATGTCACGGGTTCGATTCCCGGGCCGGTGGAAGTTGTTTGGACACACTTCCTAGCCCCCATTAGTCCCTGTTCACCTAGCAATAAGTAGGTACCTGGTGTAAGTCGAAAGTTGCGAATTCGTATTCAGGGACAAGTTGTTGGAGCTTCCAATAACTTGATGACACAAACCATTGACTCTTCAGGCTTCTATGCCCTTAACTCATGAGACATAAAGGCAAGCATGAACTTAGCATGCTTCCCTGTTGGGCACTGTAAACGCTTCTGCGCCTCACCCTACACAAGGATGTAGGGGAGTGCCCAATAAATAAATAAATAAAAAAAAATAAAAAAAATAAAAAATCTACAACGAAGAGGAGAATTTAACGGAGCAGCCAATCTAGTGTTTTCCCGACATTATTTTGTTTTTTGACTATATATTCATACTAATCTACGCTAACCTAACCTTAGTTTCATAAAATACAGTGGTCAAAAAGTCCCTGTACACATGTAATAATTCATATTGTTACTTGTTATACATAGTACCTGCAGTTTCATTGTCATATACGTACACCCACTAAGAATTATTCGGCATCCTTAAGGCGTGATACTGTGGGGTACAGGTTGTTTGGTTCTCACTCAGGATGGGTTGGAGAAAGGAAACTCACAATGTGCTCTCTGTATACATGTTGTATTGGATGTACAATGTAGCTTGGTGCTGGGAAGGCAGCATGGTTACAAGCGTGATGTAGAGAGAGCTGGTTGGTGAGGGTGCTCAGAGGACAGCTTGTGGGTCGCCATGCTCGCCGGCGGGAGCGAGGACCGCCAGGCAGGCGGAGGAGGTGTTGCTGGCTGGTTGGTGTAAGTAAAAAGAGAGAGATCACCACGAGGTCAGGTCTTAAATAGCGGGGGGTAGGCGTGGCTTAGTAGTTGACCTCCGTGATGTATGGCGGCGCTGGTTGACCCAGACCACGAGGCATACACTGTGGAATTCGTGGGGTCGGCTACGCAGCGACAAACAGCGTTTGTCGGGGAGAAATCCACTACAATACAATATGACACGGGTGCCGAGTAAATTTTTAGTGGGTGTACACTGTTCTGCTTACAGTAAATATTGGAAGGGGGTTATGTGGTTGGTATTGTAGCACTCTGGATATACTGTAATAAACAAACCCAACGTAGCATAACCCGTTCACCCTCCTGTGTACAAGGTTAGAGGAAGGCTTCCTCTAACCTTGTACACATAGCCAAAAAAATTTTGTTTAATGAATATTGCCATTGGTACATTAATCTGACGCTAGGTAGGAGGAAATCCTAACCTAGCCCCCCTGATGACTTAAGGGAGGGCTTGGGGGGGGCTACAGAGGGTTGGCTAAATCCAAACCTAGCCCTGACGACTTGATGGAGGGCTGGGGGGGGGATGGGAAGAGCATAATGGCCTTCACGATTTACTTGATAAGGGAAATTACAAACTAACAACCACAACCGCATAACACTTTAATTACCAGGTAGCTGACTTATTATTATGACTGTATCCGCACTTTTTTTCTTTTGGGCACCTAATAGCTGCTATTTCCTATGTATGAAGTCACACACACACTGTACCTGACTGTCTCTCCTGCAGGTGTGAATAACAAAGTGTGCAGCCAAACATTATGCCACCCACACAGGCATGTTTATGTATGCCTATTAATTACACAGGTATGTTTACGTATGCCAACTCACACAGGTATACATAAGGTGGGACAGATTTAAGTGAAACTACCATCTTGGTTATTATCCTCTGGCGACTAAAGTGGTATTAGAACAAGTTGTTGCAATTGACGAGATATAACTTCTGGTGAACCCAAAATTGCTCTAACTCAAATTGGGAGTGAAACTGCAATGAAACCCCTACATTTGGGACACTGCTGGAACACCTACCAACATTTGGAACACTTCTGGAACACCTACCAACATTGAGGACACTTACCTTTGAAAGAGTAATATTTGATAGAGCAGACATTGCCAGTTCTGACCAATCCTCGTTCACTCTGCAATGAAAGGGTAATAATAATAATAATAACAATAATAATAATAATAATAATAATAATAATAATAATAATAATAATAATAATAATAATAATAATAATAATAATAATAATAATAATAATAATAATATGCATCTCTCCGGGACCACAACTATTAATGTCACTCATCTACCCCAGTCTCTACCTTCCCCTGGCCTCCCTACCTTCAGTTTTACCCATTAATATCTCTTACCATTATCCTTTAGTCGCTACCCAGTCATTCCTATGATGTTAAAACAGTCTTAAGTAATATACAACATGCACCCAATCCTATCCACCTATACCTACTCTATATTTCATACACCACCTCCACTACCGAAGGAGGCCATTACGAAGGCTCATGATCTTACGTACGATCTCTATTGTGTTTGAGAAGTCTTGTCAGGGAATATTGTAATTTGAAGTTATGTTTTCTCCTCACTTCGGCTATGTGTTTCACTAGTCTACTCACATCCTGTGTGGAATATTTTCCTCTATTCCCAACTACATGACAATTTGGTGAACTTGTTGTTGGTGGTGAGTGACATCTTTGAGAAATGACCTGGATTTATACGTCTTTCATAACTTTCAGGATTTTAATGGAGAATGTGATCTGCCCCATTGTGTATTCGAAGTTGTCAGTCCTAATACTCCCAGTCAACTTGTATTATCGAGATGATTTAGTTCAGGAATAACCTTAGTCGTTCAGTGATGCACCTTTTCTACTGATGTTTTGTCCTGAAGGTAATGTCTCCGTGTTTGTTTACAGTCATCCACACGGGGACGTCAGAGAGACTCATAAAGTTGATGAAGCATTATTTTATATTTATATTCAAAGGTACAGTTTATTATTTCTACATCCCGTTTGGCTTTTCTCACTGCAGTGCCCACTTTTTGCACTTAGTGGAGAATGATGACGCCAAGGGCTGTCTTTCTTCTCTACTGCAGCCAAGAAGTGTAATTCACTGTAGTCGAATTTCAGGCGGTTGCATCCTACACGCAGTCTTACAATTTGCCACGCTAAAAATAGTTTGCCGTTCCTGCGGCGCTGCGATCGGTTAACATTTCGTGCAGATCTTATTAAATGGTCGCGATATCTCCCTCCTTGAGTTGCCACCATCCCCTACTTTTTCTCATCGTCACAAAACTGATTATGTGTCTCGACATATTTTCTCATCACTACAGTCAATGTAGATCACAAACAGAGTGGGTGTGAGGGTAGAGACTTGCGGTACTCAACTCAACACTTTGTTTCCATTCTGAATGTACACCTTATAGACCGACCACCCTTTGTTGCCTGTATTTCATTAAGTCTTTCACTCGCTAAAACAAGATATACAATACAGTGTACATGAAATAATCCAACATACTAAACCCAGTCTCGTTAAAATAGAGCACTGAGAACAAATTCAAAGCACTCACCCGTGACCTCGTAGTGGATACTCTCCCCTGCAACTGCTGATTGGTCACTAGCCGTCCGCTTACCAGCCAACCAGCGGTGAGTTCCACAGTTGTTGTTGTGTTGTTGAGATTGTCGGACCGTAGTCCGACACGGGCTTTTTTGCCTGTAGGCGGCCCGTTTGGTGGTTCCGGCTGGAGCTCTTGGAGTAGTCAGACCGGATTTGGGATTGGAGATGGAGGTTGCCTTACCTGCAGATTTGAAAGTGTGAGCGGACTCTCGGTCAGTGAACTCTTACCACCAACCCCCACTCTTGGACGTGGTCAGTTTCGGAGTGGCGCGCCCCCCGAACTGGGGTCCGCACTGCTAGGGGAGGATACTTCCTAAGCCATCTGGGTGGTGGGTATCGTGTGATGACCCGGAGAAGGTGGTGAATGTGGTTTGTTTGGGCCTTTCGGGCTAGAGCGGCCGCTGGTGTTGTGTTCTTGGAAGTTTCGAATTCTGTTTCGGACTGCGCGGTGATTGGCCAGTTACCGCCTTCACCTCAGTCAATCAGCAGCGCTGCTCACTCCACGTCTCCTTAGTGCGAGATCTTAACTCTGATCAGGTATGTGTTCGCCTGTTCCCCCACCAGTAGGTATAGTAATAACTAAATAAAAGCCTCTCCTCCCTGGCATACTGATAGCTGGTTACCTGAGTACACCTTAGTTCTATGAGATGTGTGTGTGTGTGTTATCCACTACCTTAGTATCATTATCTGCACGCACGAGGAACACAGCCCTGGGAAGGGGGAAGAGGTAGGAGGAGGAAGAGGGGTGACCATGATATTTACAAAGATAAATTAGACAACTGGCCACAGACACTAGGCTACAACCTTATTAATATGGGTGTCTCGACCAGGAAAACTGAGGACACATAGGTGAGGGAGAAGGGTGTCAAATGAACTAAGGATACCGGGGTTTGTTGTTGTCTAGAACAAAGAATGGCAAAAACTGCAGCTCATACTAGGCAGCTCCGTTTACACCCAACCTTCATCACTCGTATTTCTGTCCAACTTACTGTATATTTGAAGCTTCCCAACGAGTTCGAGTTAAAGATGACGTTTTGCTCATCCATTACTCGGTTTCCTGTCTCACGCCATTATCAAAATTTGTCTAATTTAAAGCCATTGCTAAGTGTTCACTCTTGATAAGGCAAAGTACCTTTGTTAACCCTGAATTCTATTTATACACCTTAGTCATAATGATCACCCCTCACTCTACGTCTCTCGAGGGAGTACAAATTCAAATGCTTTATTGTCTCTATATTCAAGGTTATTAATGCCCGGGATTAGTCTTATCATCTTAAATGGCAAATCAATATTTAGGACACAAATATTTTTGGAAACCCCTTTACTAAGAGTTATGGTGAGGGCCGAGGGGTCGTGTATATCAATGTTGTGACTGGTGTGAAGAATGACCACGAGCCTAAAGTTAATGTTGTGAAGGTGTATTATTATTGTCGTTACTATTATTGTTGTTATTATTAGTTGTAGCAGTAGTATCATTGTCATCACTATTGCTATTATTATATGATTATTTTTATTGTTGTTTGTATATCTATCCTGAAGTGTATTCCTCGTTTGTCCATTGCATTGCTGTATTTTGCTGTATTTCAGTTTTTGGAAGTTTGGCGGATTTATTGCGTGATTAATTTTATTGTATTTTTTAAAGAATTAGATTTGATAATACTCATATGTTTTATGTTAAGAAATATTAAATTTTTTAAGACTTGTTCCAAAAATCCAGAATTATTAATTTATGTAAAAGTGTTGTGCAGGAGACCGCCCAACCAGGTGTCAACAACAGGCTCGGTAAAACAAAGGCTCCATGTGCTGCTGGTCTCAACGCGACATGATGACCAAGTGATGTCAACGTCACCTGAGCTATCTTAACTCTGATCAGGTATGTTGTAGTGGACATCTCCTCTACAACTGCGTAGCCACAGCCACCACCTGCTACCGCCTTCCCTAGCAACCAACCAGATGTTACCGTATCCTAGCAACGAAACTAGGAACCGGCGACTTCTCGGGTTTTCCCAACATGACTCATAGCGGCTGCTGGGTATATAAGCTCTGTCTCTCCATTGAGATTCATTCTGACCATTCTTCTTGAACAAGCAACACCTCCTCCTCCGCCGCTGCCTGGCTGCCTTCGCTTCTCCTCGCCTGCCTGGCGGTCCTCACTCCCGCCAGCGAGCATGGCGACCCACCAGCTGTCCTTCTCTGAGCTTCCTCACCAACCAGCTTTCATTCTGCCCATCTTCCTGAACAAGCAACACCTCCTCCAGCAAGCTCCACGCTGTTAGCATTCATTCAACCAGGAGGCCAGCAACAGGCAACATCTTCTCTAACGAAGCTCCTGCACATCTACCTCCTTCAACACGCTACTCACCGAACGTCTCTACTGAGCAGCTCCCCGCCACACGGCACCTCCAGCACCAGACTGTCTATCATATAACTTATATTATATAAGAAAACCACATTAGAGTTTCCTTCCATCCTGAGTGCTAGACAACATTAATATCTCGATACCCCTACAATGGTGACTCCCGGAGATTAGCACTCACACAGGATGGAGGAGACACTGATCACGCTCCCAGTCTTCAAGCAGACACTGGCTCCTCTTCCTGCCCCAAGCACCACATCCTACCGACCCCAGCACACCCGTCCTGCCTCAGACGCCGACCCCGGCCCAGCAGTAACCCCTGACGCTGACCCAGGCCCACACACCCCAGCAGGCGCATCTGACGACTCAGTACCTGCCGTGAGGGAAGCACACAACATCCATCGCCTCCACACCCCCTCTTTTCTCCCTCAGGTACTCCCTGCTAATGTCCTGCACCCTGCTGCTGTCGTGGACCCAGCTGCTGTCACGAGCCCTAATCAGCTTCTGCTGACGCAGCCCCTGCTCCTGACCCAGGCCCACACACACCCCAGCAGGCGCATCTGACGACCCTGTACCTGTCGTGAGGGAAGCACAACATTCATCGCCTCCACACACCCTTTTTCTCCCTTCTCCCACAGATAGTGTGTATCTAGACAGTTGTATTTCAGCGATCGGCTCATCACGCCATCGCCGTTGTCTCACATGAGGCATGCACTGCCCGGTCTGCCTCACATGTGCTAAGCAACTCTACAGACAACAAGTCTCCTACACCGCCTGGAGGGAAGGGGGAGTATTGTAGTGGACGTCTCCCCTACAACTGCCTACAACTGCGTAGCCACAGCCACCACCTGCTACCGCCTTCCCTAGCAACCAACCAGATGTTACCGTATCCTAGCAACGAAACTAGGAACCGGCGACTTCTCGGGTTTTCCCAACATGACTCATAGCGGCTGCTGGGTATATAAGCTCTGTCTCTCCATTGAGATTCATTCTGACCATTCTTCTTGAACAAGCAACACCTCCTCCTCCGCCGCTGCCTGGCTGCCTTCGCTTCTCCTCGCCTGCCTGGCGGTCCTCGCTCCCGCCAGCGAGCATGGCGACCAACCAGCTGTCCTTCTCTGAGCTTCCTCACCAACCAGCTTTCATTCTGCCCATCTTCC